GCGGGGGGGGGGGGGGGGGGGGGGGTACATCTTATGTAATCCCCCTGTAAGGCCTATACAGCTATGTACTTATACACAGTGTTCGCCAATAGTTTCTTGGTGACAGTTTATTAAACCCTTATTCTAGAATCATTATGAACATTAGACAGAGTGACCTACGACCAAAATCTGCTTTACAACCAACATTGTTGAAAATGTGACTCAATGATTACAACATACCCTAATATACAAATACAATTACAACACACTAGTACATCCACAGTAAAACCTTGTTAGACTGCTGCCATTTGTTCAGAGAAAATTTGACATTATAAAGGGGTTTGGCAATAAATCAAGGGAAACGTGTATAAAGGAATTCTTGAGAAAACAGGAAAAGGGACCTTGGAATATGTTAGTGTTAGGTGAGGCAGCGAATGAAAAGGAGGCATTATATCAAGGTTTTACTGCAATACAACCAGTGGCCATCTCGTTAGCTCCATTAATACAAAACTAATTGCCTACTTAGGCCCTTATTTTTCACAAGGCTAGCTCGAACACTGAAAGCAGTTTTACACCGTCTCATTTATAGTGAAGTAATTGTCCCTGTTAAAAACAGTGATTGGCATTAATTTACTCCTACCAGACCACAAGATGAGATAACATTGGTGTAATTAACTCTTAAATCTTTCCATTCCAGCCAATTAACAGAGAATGTTGTATACGGTAGTAATCTTAGAAATATGGAGATAGAACATGAACTACAACATATCGTAATTGACGTAATAACTGCCCCTCCCTTTAACTTATTTGCATCTCAGATGTACAATTTTCTATACAGGTATATACAGAAGACTATTTTTTAGGCCTCAGCTGGTATTTTGAATTTTGAATTAGAAGGTGAAGGTCACAAGTAATTAGATGGACAAAGGGATGAGATTGGAAATAATGGAGGAAATCAAAGTGAAAATGGAGGAACACACCCTGCCCCTTTAGAAACTTTGATGTTTCAGAACAAGTTAAAAACTTCTAAAATCATCGAAAATATAGGAAAAACAAGGAAATCCTTTGAAAGGAGAAGAGTCACATTCCAGTTAGAATAAGCATCCACTAAACTACACCTTTTAAGACTTCTACTTAGATTGGTCCTCTAGTTAGACTGTATACCTGGAGAATTCTCCTACAGTTTAACTTTCGCCTATTTGTTGCCTGCTGCAATAAAGGCAGATTAATGATGACAGGGAATGGAAGTACACAGCATACCATTGTATTTACAGGTGAAGGGTGAAATTAACACATGGGGAATATGGATTTGACCAGTGAAGGGCAAATATTTAATTGGGCACAAGTTTCCAAGTATACAGCATCCCATCATTTGGGTTGGATGTCGTGGTTTGGATAGAATCTTCCTGAATGCAAGCCTTTGAAGATTACTTGAGTGACAATATTCAGAAGTTGCGAAAATATTTTTTTCTCAAACTGATGAATATTTACAGATTTACAATTACAAAAATCTATTGATAGAATTGAAGTTTCAAAAGTACAATGTACATGACAGCCATAGATCTATAATGATAATTACCCATACATTCCTGTACTACGACAAATCCATTGATAAAATTGAAGTTTCAGAAGTACAGTGTACATGAAAGTCATAGATCTATAATGATAACCTGTACTACGACAAATCCATTGAAAGAATTGATGTTTCAGAAGTACAGTGTACATGAAAGTCATAGATCTATCATGATAGTTACCCATAAATTCCTGTACTATGGCAAATCCATTGACAAAACCTGACTTTTTGTTTTCAATTTCTATTTTCAGGTGAACCCTGGAGCCATAAACCAAAACAGATTCTCAACAGAATGACAGAGATTTCAAAGTCGTGTAAATGAAAATCTGATTTAAACAAGATTGACTGAAGTTCCAATTCTTTGGAAGAAGCAGTACATGATAAATGAAATATAGATTATATTTTGTTTTGGTGACATGATGCTGGCGACTATGAACAAGTTTTTAACGAACGCAAATACAAACATTAAGGTGTACATGCTGGCCTACCTATTTCTGCTGAGTGTAAAGAGTTCTCTCGCTACAATAACCTACAGCAAAGCTTCCCCGTACTGTCAGTGCTGTTCTGGACCTCCAGGTACCCCCGGGGGTCATGGCAACCAGGGTCTCTCAGGACCCAGGGGCATGACTGGATTTAAGGGGCAGAAGGGGGAGATAGGAAATTCAGGAATACCAGGTAACTCTTTTTATCTAAAACAAATTCTGTGAAACATGGAAACCACTAATTGATTTATATTTGCTCTAATTGAACAGTAAAATGAATATGTAAATATGATACACAGAGCAACAGAGTCATACTAATCAGTTAATTGTGGTGTAGAAGTAAGTAAAAGGGGACAAAGAAGGATGGAAAATAATATTCCAATCTTTTACAACATATAATAGAGATATGATGTAATGGTGGAGTACTAGCTTAATGCCTGATTTCTAATTGTTATGTTTCCAGGTCCTCAGGGACCTACAGGAAAGGCAGGGGATCGAGGCAGAAGGGGTAGAAAAGGACTGAAAGGTGAATGTGGCGTCCGAGGAACCAAAGGGATGCGAGGAGAGGTTGGCCCTTATGGTGTCATGGGTCAAAAGGGGTCAAAAGGTAACTAAGTTAGGTGATATTTGAAAAATGATTCCAATGATATATGAAAGTGTATCATTATTTTCATTTTTCATCTGGAAAACTTACATGGTTTATCCAGTTTAGAGTTCAGAATTTGGTCAATATCATACAACAAATTACAATACTTGGTTATTATCATCCAACTATCATTTTGAGGTATTAATGAATAACTGTATTTATGTGTTTGCATATATAGAGGTAAGTATTTTTATTCTTATCGTGATCAATTACAACTATTGGGTTATCCCCAAAGTAATTAAAAAATTCTTCTCACATTTAGGTATGGAAACAGGAAAGCCAGATATTAATAAATATTGGGGTTAATAGAAATATTTGATATAGTGATGTATCACAAGTCTTTTACATCATGCTACAGTCACATTGGGTTAATTTGTTCATTTACTTTTTTCAGTTTAAAGTTTTCACTACTTTGTTTTTCTTACCATTTCTGTTAATTTTTCACAGATGGAGAATTGTTCAGTGCCTCTAAAAGTAATATTGATCAACTTGTCATGTTATGGAGATCTCTAACAATTTTTTGATCTCCGCATAGAATTACTTTTGAAGTCAATCCCATAGGCACAATGTGAATTTTTTGCCATAAGAAATGCTTTGGCCAATAAACTTCATATCATGGCTGAAACTCAAAGAAATGATGATTATATTAATTTTATAATAAAAGTGCTGGAAAATGTTCTAGTTGTGTGCTGTATTTCATCAAAATGGGGCAATAAAAAAGTCAGTAATTGAAAAACTTATTTTGCGAAATTTCCTTTGTCAAATAGAGGGCAAATAACTGAAAACTGAAAACATCTCACTAAGCCAAAATGTGCAGAAACAGTAAACTCAGCTGTGGGAAAATATCAAGACATTTCCCCAAATAGCACTCTAATATAACAGGCAGTCAGAGGGGCGGATAATATGTTTAACCATTCAGCCCCTAATTAAGCATTTGTTAACTTTTTTAACATTTTAACACAGGCGAATCTGGAGAGCTGCGCAGACAGGTGGCATTTTCGGCCAGTAGGACGTCCCGACTTGGTCCAGTTTTAGAAAATACCATAGTGATATACGACAATGTGTTCACCAATCAAGGTGACAGCTTCGATCCCTACACTTCCACTTTTATTTGCAAAGTCAACGGCACATACTTATTTGCTGCCCATGTTTTATGTAACCTGGATTCTGATGCCTTCGGCTGGATAATGATGAACGGAAATTATGTGATCCCTATGCATGGCGACCAACGCGCTGGATATGGGACAGGCAGTAATACCATTATTCTACACCTTGTGAAAGGCGATCATGTCTGGATACAGCTGTCGAAAAACTCCTCTCTCCTTAACGACTATTCAACATTCTCCGGCTACCTGCTATATGCAGACTGAATTGTTCATTTAAAATTGTCGTGGAAATGTTCCTTAAGTCAACAACATGATATTATTTCTGCAGAAAGTGCATCAGAAAACACATTCATAGTTTCTGCAGAAAATGCATCATTAAAAGATAATTCAATGTTTCTATAGAAACGGGACCTGGAACTTATGTAGTTGAAAAATCTAAGTAACAATGTTTAGAGTATCATTTATAATCTAAAATCAGTCATTATTATCAAGTTTAGTTCCAAAGCAATTCAAAACATATAAACAAAAAGAGAAAAAAAAAAAAAATTGATTGAAAAATCATAAAAATACTTGTTTTCATGCATCAAATATATTTGTTTGTCTTCAGCAGTGGGTTTGTCTCTATACAGGACCATATTATAAAAAAAGGTTTTATATGACTATAAACAATGCACATGTTTCACATTTTCATATGTTTCAAAATACTTTTCATGTTAAGATTGTAAAGAAATGAAAAGTGTAACCAAACATTAACTTTGCCTGTTTCATGATATCATTATCTCCCCTAAACCATGCCATTCAGTAATAATATTAGAGAATTACAATTATTTCTTTAATTTCAATTTCAGTTTGTTGTCAACTGTAAAATCAAATTTCATTGGAGTAAAATAAATGTTGTGGTTTCTTTACGAAAACAACTAATTAGTTAAATACATAATTTTTGTAGAATTGACATTTGTGGGGGAAAATATATATAAAAAAATGTGTTTCAAATCATGTTCTGCTTTAACCAGGATATAAACAAAAAAAATACTTCTGAATTGTCCCCAAACATAAACAAATATAATCTCAAAGAAAATTTCTGATTTTACAGTATATTTGCTGATCAGACTGCAGTACCCATCATCGATAATGATTCATTGTGTAAGGAGTTTCTAAACAAACCATCATGTTGCTTACAACAAGGATAGGGAAATCCTTTTTTAATAAAACAAAATGGACTTTTTTTTCCGATTATGAGAGATAGTTCATCATATTTTGTTGTAGTTTGAGTACTTGTTTATTACTTGGGTCTCCTACAGTTGTATATTTGGCTCACATCTCAAATCATTTCTACATCATCAACAGCTATGTGACCTCTTCAAGATGAAGATCAATGGGAATAAAATCTTTGTCACTCCCTGGGAAACTAGCAATTGTTTTGCAGTAATTTTACAACTTGAAACAGCGAATTTTTGACAGCTGTAAGTGTCTGACATATGAACTGTCACAGCATGAAATTTGATCCTGGAATTGATTGAAAGATAAAAAGTGTATTTCTTCTGAATATGTTTTAAATAATTATTTATGTACGTTTCACCATTCATCAATAAACACGTAATTGTAATTTATTGAATTTTGAGTGTTGCTTATTTCTAAGCATATCAAGATAAATGATGTGAAAAAGTCATTTTTAAAAGAAATACCGTTGAACTTTGCTACTATCTTTAAAATCTGATAGAGGATTTACAGAAAATATATCTCCCAACATTTGACAAAACAAAATATTTCTGATTATGCTTCTGTTGATGGATTACTATGTATCAAATTCTATTCAGTTCACATATTCACATTCAATATCACAATTTGTCGAAATTACTTAGTGACAAGAAAACCATTGTTACAAATACTGTGCAAGATATAGTGACACTATCAGCAATTTGAGTGTATCAAGCAAAATTATACCAATTACTTAAAAAACATAAATAACCACAACCCCACATCAGTTTTTTCCACAAAAATAACAACATGTCTTTAAATGTGGGGCAAATGAAATATTTTGCAGTAAGTTCCTATTTTTTGCCTGATTCTTAAATTTGTGAATGTTATGACATTGATAATATATATAATTTTCAAGACAAAATAAAAATGTAAAGCCCATTTTCTGGAGGCGATTACTCAATACCTGGAATTTTTCGTCCTCCCTAATAAGGGCTAATTTATCAGGACTTCAAATATTAGTTCATATCATACATACCAGGTGGTAATATTGTAAGAAGGGTAAAATTAACACCTGACTAATACAGATTTTACAAATGAAGATCAAAAGTTTGACTTCCTGTATATATACAATCAGCCATAGTTTAATGCTCACTTAGTCAAAGTTAAGACTTGTTTTTACCCACTGAAGACATTTTTATAACTTTAAGGGCTTTTAGGGCTTTTTCATGGCCAACCCTTGTTTTTAGGGCCTTTTCACTGCCAGTAATAACACAGACAGATTTGCAAAATTTGTTTCCTGGACAGAACTTCACATCATCAACATTGTGGTTTTGGCTTACTAAGTTGATACAATATCATAAGTGTCTGTATCAGGGGCCAAAGAGGGGAGGGGGTATTTTTCCTCCTTAATTCTTATCAATACTTTGAAAATTACAGTACGACTGGTGTTCCATGATACACAGAGAAAGATGTTTTCAAAAATACTAAAATTCACCTTTATATTATTTTTTGACCATAAAAATGTTGTAACATGTAAGCAACTGTATTAAATGAAATTAAGCGATGAAATATAGGCTCACCTATACTAGCAACTGTTTCAACTAAATTAAAGGAACAAGTTTGATAAAGTCTAACAAACACTAACTTTGACAAAATCAATCCGGTAACTTGTCATACTGTAGATCTATTGACAACAGAAAAACAATATTTAAAACTGCCAATATCAATGATTTAACAGTGAATACAGACTATTAATATATTGATGTGTAGAATGTATCCATGTTGATTGTAAATAAGTCCTGCTAGTAAATGTAAACTTTAAGATATCCTTCCTTTGTTTGGATGAAGCATGTCTAAGCAAGGTTAGATCACATATAGCTGATCATGACAGCACTCTCTTGCAAGATTTAATAAGTATCAACACAAATAGACACTTCACGTGTGTATGATAGCAAGCAAAATGTTTACATTTCTAATCAGTATGAAATCTTCATATCAACAGATTTTGTCTCTGAACTCCACAACATGCACTAAAGACAATCAGATGAATCCATTTTTCTGCAACATACTGTCAGCTTTTTGTACTGGTCAAACCTGAACCAGTGTCATATGCACAGGAATAAAAACAAATGATGCGAGGCTGTCTGTTGGAACACAGTTGTTTTACAGTAGACTCTGCCTAAACTGTTATTGCATGGCTGTATTTCCCCTTGAGAACCTACTGTGTATTAAGTTCATGATGGACATGTCATAAAATGACTCGGCAAAACTTGTTCAAAACTTAATTATTTTGTGTGCATACTATAGATTGTGTAGGTTAATGTTTTGTAATGTTGTGTTTTCAATATTTATTGCAATTAAAACATTTATTTACATGCCGGTGTCAAGCATGCAGATGTGAAAAATGACAACTAAATCAGTGTACATTACCTAGGTTGCACGTTTGCAGTAAATATGTAAACATGCTGATCAGCTCATATCTAGTACATTATAAATGTTAACGCAATTGTTAATTTACATACAAGGGTTTCATATTGTTTTTAAGTTATGAGTGCCAGTTAGTTTAAAGATTGATATTATAATCAATTATAGTCACAGATAATGAGGTTTTCTTATATGGACCCCATCTCAACAACAATGTGTTTAGCATGTGGGTCAAATATATCAAGTACAAAAACACAGATCAGGTTTCAAAATGTCCATTACCCAGAGCTGAAATTCTGTACCCTACTTCCAATTCCTGGATGTAAAGACAATTTAAGTGTTGTTAGAGATTTAGACAGATGGCATTGTATAGCATCATTAAAAGATTTTTTATTAAAGAATATAAATTGATAAAAACTTACGTTGCTGTTTCTTTCTTAACTGCTTTTTCTTCTTCCTTATTTTCTTTCTTCTTACTATTCTCTTCCTTCTGTGTTCCTTCTTCCTTTGATTTGTCCTTTTTCTGTTCTGTCTTAATCTCCTCTTTATTATCTTCTGTCTTTACTGTGGTTTTCTTTGGGGCTGTCAGTAAAATAATACAAGAGTAAGCATGTATCAATTAGCAAATCAATGCAGAAATCCATACAAAGTAAACATTAATTGCACCATATGACATTTCATCATTTAGGACTCCACAGCGTTATAATACTGAGGGTAAGACTGAAAATCTATGTCCTATGTCCAAAGCTAAGTGTTAAGAAACATCTACAAAAATGCAGTAGGTTGTGACACAACAGCAATAACATCCAATTCTATACAAAAAAAATAATTAAATGAATTTTAAGTTTTTCAAAAATAATACATATATGTGTCATTGGAAATAAAGATGGTTAATTTTATTAATGACTAATGGTAATTACTGAAAGCATTTATGTAACAGTTGAGGTGACAGAAGGAAAAATTTAGCAGTTTTCTATGGATATATATGACATGATTCTGGATCCTAAATATACTGCTCATGAATACCAATAGATTTATTATGTATAAGAACTCTGATAAAGATTCTTGGAGGAACCTCATTATATGACTTTCAATTCCCTTATATACTTTGATATCTGCTTGGGAAAGCATTGTTCTTGAGTATAATATCAGATAAGTTGCTTTCGCGTTTCTAAATATATGTACTTACCAAGGGACATAACTCTTGGTAGACTAACACAGCAAACTTTTAAGGTTTTATTAGATCTCTTTTAGAAATGTTTCAGCAGAAATAAGTTTTAGTCATGAATATTCTTAAATAATAAGATTAAGTGTAGTTAGTCTGCTCTTCAAAACATGTTAACAACCTAATCATCAAGATCACAGATTGCAAGGCGGCCATGCCCAACACTTTAAAGGACAGTACAATATTCTGGGGAAAAGTGTAAACTCGTCGATAAAACGTTATTGCTAAAGTGGAAATGATTAAAAGCTGTAATATCAAAGCTTTTCTTTATACAGAACTGTTGGTTGGACGGACACTGTGATTAATAGGGAGCACCTGCATCTCTGACTCTGATTTACTGTGAATACTGCTTATTTTTATTCTAGTAGTTTATATATGATAGCTCTGTTGGAATTAAGTAAAAATAGGTTTCTGTGACTTCTTTTAGAATAGTGATCTGGTCTCTTCACAATTTAATGTTAAAATACCTGTGCTTCGAAATGTTTAGTAACAGTATTAAGCAGGTAAACTACCCTCTATTCCTGGTAATATACTCACCAAAGAAGCTGTGGACAGGAGTTTTGGGTTCAGCCTTTATAGAAACTTTCTTCTCTTCTTTTGATTCTTCTTCTTCCTCTGTTAAAATAAAGAATGGAAATTGCATTATGGGGCCAAGACATCCTCAAACTTCCATGGGTTATACTCACTTATGTTCTCTGCCCCCCCTGGGGGAGCGCACTAAAATTCATTTTAGACTAAACCACCTAAACAGATTTTCCTAAGTTATTTTCCCATTTGAAAAGGATAGTATTCTTCTTTCGAAAAAGGTAGTGCCTCTCTGTGACAACTACCCGAAAAATATTGCTTTTTAAAATACATGACTACATTTTTGAAATTCCTGTGACTTTTATGAGGTGCTTGTCCTGACGGCTGTGACTAACATCTTTTCTCTCTCTTCAACTTCATTCATTCTATACTCTTCACAAAGTTCAACATGCAAGGTTATATATGTTAACAATATAACATTCCTTGGTTTTTATATGCAACATTGCTTGTCTTACATGATTTGAGTACTAGATGTACAAGATAATTATGATAGTAGCCAGAGAAAATCTGTTCTGTTTTATGTGTTCCATTACTATATAAAGGAATAGAAAAATCCAATGTTGCTTGTTTTAAGTCAGTATTTTAAAAAACATTTTGCTTCAGATTTTAGAAAATCACACCCACAGGAAGCAATGATACATTGATTATTACAATTCTTACCTCTTTTGTCAATTTCTGTGTCTGATGCAGATTTACTTTCCTCCGCTGGTTCTTTTTTAGATTCTTTTTTAGATTTTGGACTTTTTTTCTTACTTTCTTTTTTAACTTTAGGTGTTTTCTCTTTTTTCTCCTTGGGTGACTTTTTATTACTTTTTGTAGAATCCTTTCTGGTTTTCGGTGAAGCTTTAGCACTGCCTTTTCTGGTTTTGTTCGACTCCTCTTCACTTGGTTCTTCATCAGACTAAAGAAACAATATTAATATTGAACATAACAAAAAAAAAAAAAAAATACTTTCATCGAAGACCTCGAAATCTCTTGTTGTAACAGTTAGTAAAACTAAAGCTATTCAGAAAATTATCTATTTTTTCAATGGTGATGTTTCATTACTCAAAATAATTTGTGATTCTTAATGAACAGTTTAAGATAATGATACATGTACAACATAATACATTTTAAATACCAGACAATTTCAGTGTTTTACCTTCATCTCAACATCATCTGAATCGGTCTTTTTCGAATTTGTTTCTTCCTTTTTATCTCCTTTTGATCCCTTGTCCTCGTCTTCCATTTCAACATTTTCACAATCCGTCTTTTCCTCAGGTTTTTCTTTCTTTGATTTATTATTTTTTTTAGAGCCTGTCGACTTTTCCTTTCCTTTTGTTGATTTTTCTGGTGATTTGTCAGTTGTTTCAGCCCCTTCTTCCTCTGTCTTAGACCCCATCTTACTTTTCTTGGATGGTGTTTTATCCTCATCACTGTAGTTCAATGTTTTTCTCTTGCTACCCATTGATTTACGAGCTGGAAATTAGGGAAACAGATTACTACAAGATCATTTAAAACAACCATTCAAAGTCTGATGACTTTATTCCAGTGCCTTTCTTCATTATATTTTGTGGTCACTTAGTCCAATTTGAATAAAAATAAAATGTAATGGGATTTTTTTTTTTAGCTTTACCCTTTTGATTCTAAAAAGTTATCAGTAAGATGATCAAGAGTAAAAGGAAAATATAGAGAATGTTTCAAGAAGGAAAAAGATGTACCAGTAAAATAGATAATGGCAGTCAAGTGTCATGTTTAGCTCCCCTTTAACAATAAGTGTAGGCTTATCATAGACAATTCCATAGGGTATATATAAATCATAGCAGGATGCAGTCACTGAAGTAAACATTGTACAGTGAAACTTGTTCACATGAACTTGTTAAGGGACCAGTAAAAGCGTACAGGAGGGACTCAGTATAGCGAGACATTTCTGTTTTACATGCTATCTGTGAGAAAATTTGACAGCATCTCCTGTCAGTTTTTTCCTGATCCTAACTAGGGTTAATGCTGAACTCATTCACCCCTACAAATTTAAACTAGACTTGCCCAGTCTTTGATTTGGTAAGGTTCAAATGTGACTTCAGGGGTGAATGGGTTAACAGGTAATATACTATAATACACATTTCTACAGCAAATGCTAGAGACTTGGATTGATAACATACCTGTTCTTTACAAAACTGTAAGGCTAAAGATTGGGGTGAACAGGCAGCGTGTTACTAAGAACGTGGTTCCTAGACAGGAAGTGGTATGCCTACGAACATGGGTTTTTTTTTATGGAAATACATATGCAAGAGACTGAGACTGCTAATAAATAGTTCTTTATGAAAATGAAGAGGCTATAGTGGGAATTACTAAAAAGAGGTTCCTGTTAGGGACAGGAACATGCTTAGGACTGGAATTGCTAAGGAAGAGGTTCCGCAAAGACAGGAAGATGCTAGAGAAGAGATAGTTTAGATAATCATTCCCATGAGCAAAAAGATTTAAGACAGCTGTTGCATTTTTGGTTTCTAATGTTAAAGATGCTACAGTCCCCAAAATAAGGAAGAGACACTAAAGGCAGGGATTACAATGGAAGATTTTGATATTATCCCTGTTTACAACTGCTGTCTGTCTTTGTCTACAAACCAGTTTTCCTGACAGGGATTCCAAATGGTGATTTAGCCGCTGGAGAGGTAGCTGTTACTTCTGTGGAAGACTGAGAAGATACACCAGAGTCTTCTTCTTTTTCATCTTCTCCCTTTTCGTCATTCTTATCGGTCTTTTCTTCTTTCTGAAATGGAACATAAAGTTGCACCTATGATTCATGTGAACATGAATCCTAAATTAATTCATTTTTCTATGAATTAACAATGAGATTTATTCAAAAATTTGTGTCTTGAATGAATATTAATTCAGATCTCATCAATATTAAAATTCCGAATTGGCATCATCTCAATCATGAATCCAAGCAGTCATCGATAAAAAATACAAACTTTATGAAATAAGGTACACAGAGAAAGGAATTGAATTACAGTAGGTAATTTTAGGATGGCACTGTTCCAATTCTCGGACATTATAAACAAAGTAAAAAACACCACAAGCAAAACGTTTGACAACCTACATATCAGTAAAAGGAGGGCATAAACAAATGAGTTGGTTTTTTGGGTCTTAATAGTGGGAATCAGTCAAATTTTCAACAATAACAAGCACAATGAAGCATTGCAAAGTAATACATGTCCCTTAAACATTGTTTAGTATAGTGCAACCATCAATGAACATACCAAAAGTTACTGGCTAGACAAGGAATAGAATTGAGCCCTTGCCATGACCCTGATCTTTGAGGTGTATACCTGTATGTGACAGCTCACCTTATCCTAGTACATCCAGGAATTAATGCAGGAACAGAAAGTTAGTACTCTCTTTTGAAATAGGGGAAGATATGCGCTGTAGGTGTCTGATCTGTCCAGCGAGGGCTGCTGGCCAGAGCCAGGCGAAGAGTATGAGAGGGGGCATGGATTACAACTTTAATTTTGTTTCTCGCTGTTAATTATAGATTATATAATATCAGCAGTGACAACTAATATCAACACAGGGAAAATGACATTAATCACCCAGTTGTGGAACTGATGGAAAATTAGTGGTTTTATTTTAATTACAAATGGGTGATTTTTAACTAAAATAGGGGAAAATAAAGCTGAAATAGGGGAAATTAACGCCAAAATTGGAGAGGGGATTTGGCCCATATTCGGCCCAAAAAAAGGCCTGTATATATCCATGACATCTTTCTAAAACAAATGTTTCAATTTTTTGCCGGATCACCCATGTAACATACAACACATATAACATCTATAGAAAAATATAACAGACACCTCTACATCTTTTGTTTGATCTGCTTCTTCTGTTTCCATGGCAACAGACTCCTTGTTATTTTCTTCCTCATACTCATCATCACTTTCTATAATTCGAGCTCGACTTTTCTTTTTGCTAGGAGCTTTGACTGGAGAATCCAAGTCTTTTTTCGGTGGAGATGAATTCTTAGGTTTCAGGGGAGATTTCTTTGGAACCTTTCTGTAAATATGATAAAGAAACATTAACCAAAATTCTGTTTCAACCACCTTTTATATAAAAGAAGTCTGAACTATGAGTTGTAATTCATTATCTTTTTGTAAAAATACTATAATGTTGAAACATAAAACAGATTATAAATCTATTATGTGGTTTCTTAAATTTTGAGCAACAAACTTCATACAAAGCGTGGAATAAAATTCTACTTTAGATAAAAGAATTCCCACAATTTGAAAGTAAATCGAAATAGGGTTTTCTACTTTAGTTTGGCACTATACATGTACCATGAAAACTGTCCACAAAATTCAATTAAATGTCAGACAGACATGGTTAATCTTGCTCATTATGACCCTTGTCATGCCCATTAAGTTGAACCATTTCACCCCTATGTAACTTGAGTGAACTCTACCATTCAATAATTTGGAAGAGTCCATTATGGTCTACAGTGGTGAAAGGGTTAACCACAAATTTTGATTTGCAAAAATCTTGGGTTTGCACGTATATACTACAATACACATAAACTATGTTAAAATAACAAGAAGCTCAATTCATAAGGTGGCCTATATTTATACCCAATATATCAAAATGAATGATTTTTGCTATTTTCTTGTACCACTCTAAATTCCATGATATAAATTGGAGATTTTTACTTTTAAAACCTTAAAGAAACCCCTTATAATAAGTTATACAATTTCGTTTGCTGTAAAAAAACAAGAGGCCTAAGGGCCTTAGCGGTTACCTGAGTTATATCATAGGTACTGGTAGCTTTATTTTATTGTTTAGATGTGATGTGGAAATCAGCATGTAAACTAAGTGAAATACAATACTTGTCATGTCATCAAAGGATAATAATTTGAAACAAGAGGCCCAAGGGCCTTAGCGGTCACCTGAGTTATATAATAGGTACTGGTAGCTTTATTTCATTGTTTAAATGTGATGTGAATATCAGCATGTAAACTAAGTGAAATACAATACTTGTAATGTCATCAAAGGATAAGAATTTAAAAATATTTGTAAATGTTCCCTTTGGGGCCCCGCTCTAACCCCTGGGGAGTGGGCAGGAATTCCAAGTTTACAATGTGATACCGTCATCCACCAAAGATGATTCTGACCAAGTAAAAATAATTTCCAAGAGAAAATTGTCAAAATATACCCAAAAGTGTTGTTTCCCTATATAAACTATAGTAAACTTTACCCCCTCCCCAAGGGAGAACGGATAGCTCAGGGGTCCTGATATTTACAATTTTAATAGAGTCCCTTATGATCTTTCCATCAATGCAGAGAAAATGACTGTAATACCCTGAGTCTGGAGAAGAACATTTTAGAAATATTGGTCAATTTTCCCTTTTGGGCCCCGCCCTGGCCCCTAGGGTTGGGGTAGGAATCCCAATTTTACAATTTAAAACCATCTTCCTCCTCCAAAGATAATTCTCACCAAGTAAGAATAATTTCCAACAGAAAATCGTGAAAATATACCCAAAAGTGTTGTTTCCCTATATAAACTATAGTTAACATTACCCCCTCCCCAAGGGAGAACGGATAGCTCGGGGGTCCTGAAATTTACAATTTAAATAAAGCCCCTGATGATTTTTCCATCCATGCAGAGAAATTGACTGTAGTATAGGACTAAAGTCTGGGGAAGAAGATTTTTGAAAAATTGGTTAAATTTTCCTTTGGGCCCCGCCCTGGCCCCTAGGGTTGGGGTAGGAATCCCAATTTTACAATTTAAAACCATCTTCCTTCAAGGATAATTCTCACCAAGTAAGAATAATTTCCAACAGAAAATTGTCAAAATATACCCAAAAGTGTTGTTTCCCTATATAAACTATAAAAAACTTTACCCCCTCCCCAAGGGAGAATGGATAGCTCGAGGGTCCTGAAATTTACAATTTAAATAAAGCCCCTGATGATCCTTCCAAGATCCATGCAGAGAAAATGACTGTAATACCTCTGAGTCTGGAGAAGAAGATTTTTGAAATATTGGTTAATTTTCCCTTTTGGGCCCCGCCCTGGCCCCTAGGGTCGGGATAGGAATCCAAAATTTACAATTTGGTAGCCTCATCTACCAAGGATGATTCTGATCAAGTTTGAAAAATTCCATCTACTGGTTCTTGTAAAGAAGTTGATAATGTAAAAAGTTTATGCACGACGGACGACGGACGGAAAGTGATTGGAATAGGTCACTTGAGCAAAGCTCAGGTGACCTAAATATTGGTAAATGTTCCCTTTTGGGCCCCACCCTAGACCCTGGGGATGGGGCAGGAATTCCAATTGTACCAAGTAATACTCTCATTCACCAAAGATGATTCTGACTAAGTTTGAGTAATTTTCTGTTGAAAATGGATAAAATATATACCCAAAAGTGTTATTTCCCTATATAAACTATAGTAAACTTTACCCCCTCCCCAAGGGAGAACGGATAGCTCTGGGGTCCTGAAATTCAAAATTTAAGTAAAGCCCCTGATTATCTTTCTTTTCATGTAGAGAAAATGAGTGTAGTACCTCTGGGTCTTGAGAAGAAGATTTTTGTAATATTGATTAATTTTCCCTTTCGGGCCCCGCCCTGGCCCCAGGGGTTGGGGTAGGAGCACCAATTTTACAATTTTGTAGTCTCATCTACCCAGGATGATTCTGACCAAGTTTGAAAACATTCCATCCACTGGTTCTTGAGAAGAAGTTGAAAATGTAAAAAGTTTACGCACGACGACAGTCGGGAAGCGATTAGAATAGGTCACTTGAGCAAAGCTCAGGTGACCTAAATATTGGTAAATGTTCCCTTTTGTGCCCCACCCGAGACCCTGGGGATGGGGCAGGAATTCCAATTGTACCAAGTAATACTTTCATTCACCAAAGATGATTCTGACAAAGTAAAAATAGTTTTTGAAAAATTGGTTAAATTTATCTTTGGGGCCCCGCCCTGGCCCCAGGGGTTGGGGTAGGAATCTCAATTTTACAATTTGAAACCATCTTCCTCCAAGGATAATTCTGACCAAGTAAAAATAATTTCCTACAGAAAGTTGTCAAAATATACCCAAAAGTGTTGTTTCCCTATATAAACTATAGTAAAATTTACCCCCTCCCCAAGGGAGAACGGGTAGCTCGGGGGTCCTGAAATTTAAAATTTAAGTAAAGCCCCTGATTATCTTTCTTTTCATGTAGAGAAAATGAGTGTAGTACCTCTGAGTCTGGAGATGAAGATTTTTGAAATATTGATTAATTTTCCCTTTCGGGCCCCGCCCTGGCCCCAGGGGTTGGGGTAGGAGCACCAATTTTACAATTTTGTAGCCTCAACTACCAAGGATGATTCTGACCAAGTTTGAAAAAAATCCATCCATTGGTTCTTGAGAAGAAGTTGAAAATGTAAAAAGTTTACGCACGACGACAGTCGGGAAGCGATTAGAATAGGTCACTTGAGCAAAGCAAAATGGATGTAATTTCTTTTTATCGATTAACCATTACAGAAATAATAAGGTTATACTTTTTAGAATCATCTTTCTTTTCTATGGTCTTTTCTTCTTCCTTGTTTTTCACCCTTGGGGAAGCAAAGAATGCTCTGTAATTATAAGAAACAAAAAATAATTTCAATGTTACATAAAACTCAACAATAAGTGTAAATACCTTGGTTGGTACAAATAAGAAAATATTGATTCAGAAATAATTAGTATTTCAAGAAACAACGGGTGTACTTTTCATATTATGTGGATGTAGAATTTAAAATAATTGGTCAGTTAACACGATTAATTACAGATGGTCAGTAAGGCCAATACAAACTAGAACTGTAAGCCAAAGGTTAACCAATAACGGTAAACCAAGTCACTTGCTAAGGGTAATTATAAGGAAACTAATCCACTTGCCAGGTTGAATTTCTACTGATCAAACTTTTCCCCAGATTTTAAAAATATACAGATATTTTGCCAGTTTTACACACAAAAGCTAGGATTTGACAAGAAGGTACATTGTCAATCATCAAAATGGTGCATATCTAATTACATAATGTTCACTAACTAATAAAACATCATGAGAGAAGTTATGTTTCAGTTCCAGTTTAGCATCTAGCGAAAGAAAATGTATGATTATTAAATAATGATGTTATAGGAATTGGAAGTGGTGATGGAGTAAGTCTAAAGTTAAGTACGAGTATTCAGTAACTGTCCAAAGGAACATGACTTATACACGGTATCCTTTATTGTAGTGTACATTCATTTAAAACTAGTGAATTCAAATAAAATAACTATATCAGATATCACTGATGTCATTTGTTGAGCATTAGTTAGTAACCCTGCAAGTAAGATCAAGATTCAAAACATCAGCTGCTTAGCGAATAAATGTTATGAGTTATTTCCCTTACAACATATACTTGTAAACATGCAATGTTGGCCATTGATAGTCGATGTGAGCAGTCGTAAGCACTTCAATTTAATAAAACGATGTAGAGTCCATTTTGTATCGAGTACGGACATGACATCTAGTCAAGGGAGTGAGAAATGAATCAACTGAAATAAAGGTATGATTATTTTCTCCGACAAACCTGTATAACTCTCACAATCGCTGTCGCCAAATTTCGACGACAATCCCCGCATTTTTAAGAGCAGTCGATAGCCGACCATAAACAGGCGACCGATCAAAATTTTTGAGCCTGCGATTATGGTCAGTTTTAGCGGACTAGGCCATTGAGTACTATATAGCCACTTTATCACAGCATCTCAAAACCTTTTGAAATCTTCAATTAACCAAACAAGGCAGCAGAATTGAAAATGTTGTAAAACTGGCATTAGAAACAAGCAGAAACATGTACACAAATTAAACTTTCCGTGCAAGAGACTGACAAGTTATAAAATATGCTACCAGTGAACTATTTTTGCTAAAGCATCAGCCTTAATGCAAGTTAATGTTGCTACATATAATTTAAATAACTTAGCACAAGTTCAAAATTTCAAAACTAAATATCTGAATCCAGATAATTAATTGGATTCTTTAAATATGACTTAATCGAGTTGAAATTCAGGATGGCCATTCCCTCTAGATCTTTTGAAGGACTTTCTGATGAACCAGGTTAGTCTGCTAAAACTGACCATAATCGCAGACTCCAAAATTTTGATTGGCCCCCTGTTTAGTATCAGCTATCAACTGCTCTATATAACATGGAGATTTGTCGCCGAAATCTAGCCACAGCGATTGTGTGAGTTTTTCAAGAAACTATTCATACCTAAATTTTCTCTCTTCCCACGATGTCAAATATTAACAAAGGGGTAGGTCATATTTGTTGAGCAAGTGGAAAGTGCAAGTCTAATGATCGAAGTATTGTAACTGTGTAAAAAATACTTGCAACTACGACCACAAGGTTCACACACCAGGCGACAGGCCCCTATGCACCAAATATCAAAATGGTCATTGTTTTCAACACTGCCTTTCTGCTGTATAAGCGCAATCTAACTATGTAAGTGAAACGGGGAACAGACGTTTCAGGACTCGGACGTTTCGGTAGCGAGATGTCTTGTCATCACACCGACAAAAAAGTACCGAAACATCCTAGTCTTTAGTTTAGGTACCGAAACGTCTAGAATTCAGTGAAACCACATATTATCAGTTACTCATTAGGGAAACGCACGTGACACTAATTTAGTAACATAGTTATAACAGTGAAATTTGTATTTACGTTATCGATCGCTGCATCTCTGGAAAAAGTTGTGTTTGTAAAATGTTTCTCTTGTTCCAGTAGACAAAACTTCAGTTTCCCGCCAGTAATAATAAACAGGAAGTGTCCATATCATAACCTAAATTGTTTTTCACATTGAAGAGTTCCATTGGGAAATCGTTTTACTAAAAAATCTTTTTCTTTTTGTTCAATGTCACGAGACATAAAAGCAAACTGCTCACATTAAATCTTAAGTTATATTTCATTCATTACCATGATCACAACCTAAATAAAAGTGTTTAGATAAAGTTCAACGAATATTGATGTTGTGTCTGTGACGTCATGATCATATGCGGAAACGTCATTTCCTAGATTCTAGCAGGAAATGGACAGACACTTGTTAAAAATGTAAATATTTATACATTTAAATATTGTGTGAGAAAGAATTATCGTGAAATGATGTTTTCATTGTAATAATCATCTTTCTATTTGCATGTCAAGGTGAGTTTTACTTCATAATTTCCATTGTAGAAAAACAGATGTTTAGCTAATCAACAATATACATGTAACACACAACTGCATTTTGCCACCAGTTGTATCTTGTAACATAATAATAACACATGATCAATGGCGGTCATTAGCGTTTTACTGTATATGTATGTCTAGCCTTTGTTTGGTCGGGGTTTAAATGTTCATGCAGTTATATAATCAATCAAAAATATGTTTGCCCGATAATGTTTGACTTGGAAACTGGTCACGATAAAGCACCACTGGACTTGGTTACAGCAAGCTAATAAACCGGTAAAACAACACAGTTATTCTATTGTGGTGAAACAGTGGGAGTTGTCACCTTTCTGGTGTCATCAGGTCCAGACAAATTAAACCACTTCGTAATATCACAGGAGCCTGAAGTTCTGTCAATAATGAATAATAACAATAATACAAAAAAAACACCTATAATATGCTTAAAAAATAGAAGCTTATTATAGGTATTTTTTTTGGTATTACTGTTATTATTCATTGTTGACAGAACTTCAGGCTCCTGTGGTTATAGTTTGAAAAGTATTCATGTGGAATTGAATGTTATTGATGTTATGATTAGAAAATACCAAATTGTTTTTTTTCTCTGCATATTCTGCAAGATAGACATATTCATGAAAATTAATGAAGGTAGCAAAGCCAACATGTTTGTGCTGAGGTGCACACTGCCAACAGAAAGAAAAATATACAACCAAATTGTTTCTTGGACTTGATTAGGACATATATGCTTTCACTATATAAAAGATGTAACCATAAAATGACATCACAATCATTGGGTTAATTAATAACAGCATGAAGGAGTTGATGAGGTCATAATGTCATAAGGTTGATGCATGAGTCCCATGACTAAAGTATATTGGGTTCTCAAAATGCGGGTGAGTCCTTTAGGAAATACTTAAGTCCATGACTCAAACATTATGTGTTCCAAAACGTACTGTCATGTAGAAATTATTGGAGTCAATCTTGTAATAAGACAAAACAAATTAGGTTAAACTTTATTTGCCTTTGCTATTTTATAACCTAGCTACCCTAACCCTTTTTGGTGACTTTTTAACAACCAAATGTTACTCCAAAGCTCTATATGTAAAAGAATGATACCTTTTATTTTTGTTTGGTGGATTATTGGGTGGCACAGTGGATAACGCATCCACTTTTCACTAAGGTGACTAGAGTTGGATTACCTGATAGGATGTGAAAAGGTATTGGGTCACCTGCCTGACTAATGGAGACCATGTGGGGTATTTGGTAGGTACTCTTGGTTCCTCCCGCATTAAGACCCCCTGAAGTTCACTTCCATTCAGGCCAACAAGAGTGATTAATATTAGTTAGAATTTGTTTCAAATTCACAATAGTAAAATAAATAAAGTTCATCTTATATCAAAAAAGAATGCTTTGCCTACCTACCCTACTAGTACTTTTTGTTGGAAGTGGAAAACATTAAAAAAATATTACCATATATTTTTTAGCCAAGAACACATGCTCTTTCAAAATTGTCTTTTGTACAACTCACTCGTGAGTTTTCAGAATATATTGACTGTGAAGATCCAGATGTTTGCCATGTCTTTGACACAACTTATGCTGTTGTTATCTTCCTCCAAATGAAGAAATAAAGCTGAAAGTTTGACATTGATGAAAATGAATATAATGCATAATTAGATAGCAAAGAGGTTCATCGATATCAGATAAAATATTGAAATAGAATTAAGCATTTACACGATTGGGTACATTGTTCATAAAGAGATAGTTAAATAAATAGTGTTTGGTGTTCTGGCTTTGTGTGTGCATGCAGTGCATGTTTACTCATTCATGATCAGTATGGTTTTAAATAGTACCTTTTCAGAATGAAATAACCAAGGTTTCTAAGTTTTAGAAATGCTCTAAAATGAATGCATACAGTCTCTGTATGCAGTAAGAGTCAGTAATGTCTGACCACAGACCTGTGTTAGTATGTATTAATTGGTAACTGATGAGTAATTACATATGTTACAAATCCACAGCTCTTTCTAGTATACTATTTGATGGATGGTTCCTTGTGTTGTTACTTGTAATCACATGACATAACTTCTCATAAAATATATACAAACAAAGGTTTTCATGGTGCATATACGGTGTACAACCATATGATTCATAAAAAATGTCATATATGCATTACAAAACACTAATAGCTGGAGGCTGTTGTGTTGACTCTGTCACTTACGTACATCTTGCATTTTACTGCAGCATTGTGTTATAAGCCTGTGAGTGTGATTATGATATGCACTATATACGGTACATGACCTTTCTGTTATGAATTTTTCCCCTTTTTTTTTGTTGATAACATTTTTTCTTGTTTGAGATTTGAATAAAAGGTTTGCAGGTTTGAAAACTTGTATGACATTCACATGAAAACTTTTTATCTGAATGACTTATAAGAGAGGCCTAGCACTTTAGAGTAATTTAACAAATTATATAGGGCGCTATATAAATGTTGTATATTATTATTATTATTTATTATATCATGTTAGGATGAAAGGCTATCAAGTTTGATAACAAATGATCTTGATCTGCTTTCATGGTCCTTATGGCCAATTGTGTTAAAATCTTTAAATGTTATGATATTTAGCCATTACCATTCTGGTTGAACTTTGTTCAAATGGGTGACCTTGATGGTTTGACCTACCTGTAACTTGTGTTAAAATGCCTCAACCCATGGTCATCATATTCAGCCGGTACATGTATTGATGGGTTTAAGTTGTATCAAATTCATTTATCAATTTGACTCAAATAATTTGTGTTAGTTAAGAGTGATGAATGATTATTAGACCAAAACAAAAAATAGGTGTGTTTCGGGTAACCCGACCGACCTCATTTTTTCCGCCGACTCTACAACTTATTATCCAAAATCCGGATTTCATAGCGTTATCGGTTCTGGTATTTAATATTTATCACAACAAGGTAGTTTAGACGGTTGAAGTAGCGAGTTTGAAAATACCATTTCTAAATGCATAACTGATTCCGCTGACATCAATATTGCAAATGGCGCACAAATTGAGACATTGGCAAGTTGTCTTGGGCATAAAATTGAAAAATGCCTGTATTCTGCTGAAAAAACATCATACATTCTTTTTCTGCACATAAGAGGATAACCGAAATATTCAGGGATATTAATAATGAAAATGAGAAAGGAGACTTCTTCTTGACAAGCGGTCATATCGGGGGCTCACGCTTGGTTGTTCACCGTAAGTGCTACTGTATATGTTGATGATCGTAGTGAGCAAATGTATTAAAACCTTAAAACCTGTAGTGTTAGTTCCGATAACTGCAACAAATGGGAACTGATTTTCTTCAAGCTTGGTACCAGGGTTAAATGCCTTAAGGGCTCGACCAAGTTTGATGACCACTTTCAACAGACTTTATTTGGCGGGGTTATGGCCCCTTGAATAGCGCAAAACATCATTATCTACCGTTTCTGTTCATTAACTCTCGCAAATATTATCTGATAGTCTTCAAACTAAGTAAAAGAGTTCATCACATTAAGGGCTCAGCCATTTTGACAACCACTTTAATCGGACTCCATTTGGCGGAGTTATGGCCCCTTGATTAACCCTTGATTAACGAAAAACATCATTATCTGCAGTTTCCGCTTAATAGCTCTAGCAAATATTAGCCAAATTCCTTCAGATTTGGTAACAATGTTTGTGTTCCTCTGTCTTTTCACCCATCTTGGGCACATTTTGTTTTTCGTGTGATAATTGCTGTAGATATTGTACAGATATTTCAACCAAATTCTGTATGCACATCCGACTCATCCTAAGTTTGCCAACAGATGTGATTTGTGCATATTTACAGATAATTAATGAGGTATAAGGCTTTTTNAGATAATAAATGAGGTATAAGGCTTTTTTTATTCTTCAAGTTTTAAGCTATACATTATGTCTCAACAGCACGATACTCACATGTCTAAACCTAACCTCAATAATGTTTACCTACAATATGTCCTGCATGCAAGCGGGGGATATAAATTCCACGAATTTGCTTGTTTGCTATTCAGGTGAGAGATACAGGCCCTTTGAGCCTATTCTTGATTTTGTATGCATTTTTCTTCAAAATGATATGAATAGAATATAGATCAATGCATATACACACACTAATATAAGAATACCTGTGGAATCACTTATTGATTCACTGTTTTATTGTGTTTCAGATGAACTCCAGTGGCACAAGTGTGCCCACCGTAAACCTTTCTACACCTATACCTGTTACAACAAGTATCCCTGGTAACCGTAGCTCCATGACAACACTTCTGCCGGCCCTGGAGAATGTGACGGGGAATGCATCGTACATCCAGCCCCTGATCTTCCTCCAAACCAGAGCAGCCCAGGGCATTGGGGGTGTGTGTGCCTTCCTGGCACTCCTCATTACTGTCCACCAGGTAGGCCAAGTATTAAAAATTCTACTCAACATGAAATACGGAACAAATCTCAAGAAAAATCTTTTCCGGTCTCAATTGTCACTTTTTGAAAAGAGGGCGTTGTTATTGATCTATTAAAGCAGTATATTTGTATATATTGCATTGCAATATATCAAATTATCTGGTTAACAACTGTATCAAAATGCTCACAAAAATGTACACATATGTACTACTTACTAAGTTAGGTAACAAATGTCCTGTTTATGCATTACAAATTACATCCGTATTAATCTGGCAATAATTAGCTTATGTCTGGTATTAAGCCCACCCATCCTTTTCAGCAGTATCAACTTAATTAGGTGTGTACAATTAAAATTGTCTGGTGCCCAGGGCTAATGGATTTTATGTTTGGGCCATCATTATTTTTCAACATTAACTATGAATATATAGTAATTCATTTTCAAAAAAAATTGTCAATCAAACTTTCCTAACCAAGTGTTTGAAAGTAATGGTCACCTAATGGCAAACGTCCATATTCAGTTGGTTGGTGTATACGTAAATGTCATTGTATCAGCTACATAATAGATATATATGTTTTAGTGTGAAACAACTACTGCATTCATTTGATTCTAAACTCTTTTCCCCTTTTTCTTTTCTCCTTTTTTGAAAAAAAAGTATTTTTTATTTACAACTTAAACCAGGCTCAACTATATAAGTTGTAAGACAATACAACTGATATTGATTTTAACAATGTAAATAATGATCAAGATGGAACTGGTTACAATGTGCTACTTGCCTTTTGCCATTATACATTTATTTTGTCTAAACATTGGCGCCAGTATTATTGATGATGCGTATATAATGATGACTACTGGTCACACATCCTTTACTTGCATTTCATACAGACCAATTTAACATTGCAACTTGCAGCAGTGGATTTTAAAGATTTCATGTTTGATCCAAAATCTGAACTGTTACCTAGATTGTAATCAGGAGGAAATAAAATTTCCTTTTTCTTTGGTTTCCTTAGTTTTTAATGCAATGGTTCAGGTCTGTTAACAATTATTGTGTAAATAGCTGTGTAGACTGTAAATATTATTGTTTAATCAATAATGGATGTGTGAATAGTGAATACTGGTAAACATTTAGTTTTTGGATAAATTTTTAAATTCACTAGCCAACAATAAGTTATACAGTTATACACAGTTACATAGCCAACAGTAATACAGTTATTTAAGCATTGAACTTAGCGCGCATTATGTTGTTTGCTTGCAAAGCTGTGTCATTCAAATAGATCATAAATACCATACAAAAACAGTACAATACTTATATTTACGTTTTCTCTGCCTCTTATGTTATTTTTTAACTTATAATTTATATTTAAAATTAAGAATGCCCGCCTTATCGACAGTCCACACAATTTCGTTCAATAGTTTTAACAACGTATTGTCGCGTGCTGATTGGCAAGCAAAGTAGTACTTTGAAATTTTAACAAACACTTCAATGTTATTCCACAGTTCAGTATCAATACAATTGCGTATGATATGTCCATAGGGTGATTTAAGTTCATCAATAGAACTCTGAGCTGAAAGTTAGATTTGAAATTGTTTCGATTTTTCCCCGGAACAAATTTTGCGCATGGACAAATACAGTGAACACTGTAAATCCGACCTTGCCCTCCACGAGGGAGTTATTTTTGGAAGATAATTCAAACTTTTCTCTTTGCTCATTTTGTGAAGAATCCAGGCGTGAATTTATTGGGTGATTGTATGGGAACCTGACAACAGTCGGTAGATTCTATAACAGCCTCGTTATTTGACATGTCGTCAGAAACTGAGGACCTTGGATGCGAGACGCGTGAAACTGATAGCACTTGAAGTGAGTGATCTTGCGAGGGAGCACAGGTTCGTTACAAATGTCTGAAATGTTTATGTGTGCTGTGACTCATATCAGTAGGTCTTGTTACACATGTGTCAGTAGGTTTATAGAATATGTGTATTTCAGACATTTGTAACGAACCCCTGTTGATCAGTGCAGTGTAACAGACGATATTGCTGATAAATAGCATGAGCATTAAAATTGTTTCCATTGCCGGCATTCGTGATTTCAACCGATGTGCATTTTGTACGATATTGCAGACCTTGGTCTTGTTTTCGTTGTAAAAAAAGTTTTTTATTTTATTTTTTATTTTGCACATAAATTTACAATGACATTGTCAAATCTCACAATGCCCAGCGATATTTCAGCAGCCATCATGTTTATTTATATTGGATATTGTAGTTCCGGTCAGTGTTGTATTAATACACTAAGAATTGTGTCTCGTGATGCATGGTAATTAAAGTCCCATCAACGACACAGCTTTCAAAGAGGCTATATAGTGACAATGCCATGCAAATGTAAATATACAGTTACATAGCCGGCAGTAATACAGTTATACACAGTTTTACATAGCCAACAGTATTACAGTTATACACAGTTACATAGCTGACAGTAATACAGTTATACAGAGTTACATAGCCAAAGGCTATGTAACTGTGTATAACTGTCTAACTATTGGCTATATGTAACTGTGTATAACTGTCTAACTATTGGCTATATGTAACTGTGTATAACTGTCTAACTATTGGCTATATGTATCTGTGTATAACTGAACTACTGTTGGCTATGTAATTGTGTATAACTGTATAACTATTGGCTATGTCACTGTGTATAACTATACTACTGTTGGCTATGTAATTGTGTATAACTGTATAACTATTGGATATGTCACTGTGTATAACTATACTACTGTTGGCTATGTAACTGAGTATAACTGGATAACTGTTGGCTATGTAACTGAGTATAACTGGATAACTGTTGGCTATGTAACTGAGTATAACTGGATAACTGTTGGCTATGTAACTGAGTATAACTGGATAACTGTTGGCTATGTAACTGAGTATAACTGGATAACTGTTGGCTATGTAACTGAGTATAACTGGATAACTGTTGGCTATGTAACTGAGTATAACTGGATAACTGTTGGCTATGTAACTGTGTACAACTGTATTACAGCTGTTGGCTATGTAACCGTGTATAACTGAACTACTGTTGGCTATGTATCTGTGTATAACTGAACTACTGTTGGCTATGTAACTGTGTATAACTATACAACTGTTGGCTATGTTACTGTGTATAACTGTATAACTGTTGGCTATGTTACTGTGTATAACTATACAACTGTTGGCTATGTTACTGTGTATAACTGAACTACAATTTAGTGAATAGTGACTAATATAGTGGTTGCAAAACACAGATCTATTCTAACATTGTAATTCATTCTCTGAGGGACATTTAAATGTAATTAAGGTTCTGAGATTAAATACTATGATTGATCACATATAAATGAACATAAGTTATCTAGCTTTGAAGCAGCAGTTTATGTTACATTTGCTCGTGATTACAACAATAATAGTTAATAAAGAAATAAAGGAATCTCAACAATAATAGTGTAAACAGTACACAATTACACAAACAAATCCCACTAAAAAAATAGTGTTGACATCACAGAATTTTGTTGCATCCTAATTAACTGTAATGAAGTGATACATTCAACGGCTTAACAGTGTTATCAATTCCACAACAGGGCAGATAGAAAAAACTTGAATTCAACTACTTCATGACAAATAAGGTTGAGGATTGAGGTGTCATGGAGAGTTTTGGGGATATTGCAGAAATAAAACATCCATACTCTAACTGGTTAGCAGTGATTCCTTTGATTATGTTGAAAAAAAAGTTTTAAATGAACAATTATTTAAGACTAGTGATTCAGAGATTTTGTAAGAATTTTGTAAAATATTTTGTGGAAAAATCCTATTTTAGTGTGTATGTATATCATGGGTTATGCTCATGTACACTTTCTGCACCACTGGAATATGTCATAGCAAATTGAAGGCACAAAGATAGCTGTTTGATTGGTCTCGGGTAAAAATAAAACTGACCAATAGCTAGGCTGATACTTGTCCTTTGAAGATTACGAAGGGATAACACCTGACTTCAAAGTCAGTTAATTTTTAATGTTACGTGACCGCAAGACTTTTTTGATGTACATCTAAGAATCAAACTAGTCTTCTTGTCTCATCAACAAGGTGGTGCACACTGAGCTTTCTATTTTGCTATGACATATTCCAGGGGTGCAGAGAGCGTACATTGTAAGTGAGCTTAACCCCTGGATATCGAGGATGAAGTAAATCTTGCTTTGTCCACTCAGTAGCAATTATTACATAATACATGTAGTACAGTGGATCTTGGTTTATATCATAAGCTCATATCAAAGATCTTCTGTCTGGAGTTTGATGGTTTTGAGTTAGCATCTAACTGGAGTTTAATGGTCCTGAGCTGGCATCTGTCTAGAGTTTGGTGGTCCTGAGCTGGCATCTGTTTAGAGTTTGATGGTCCTGAGCTGGTATCTGTCTAGAGTTTGGTGGTCCTGAGCTGGCACCTGTCTAGAGTTTGATGGTCCTGAGCTGGCATCTATCTAGAGTTTGATGGTCCTGAGCTGGCATCTGTCTAGAGTTTGGTGGTCCTGAGCTGGCATCTGTCTAGAGTTTGATGGTCCTGAGCTGGTATCTGTCAAGAGTTTGATGGTCCTGAGCTGGCATCTGTCTAGATAGAGTTTGATGGTCCTGAGCTGGCATCTGTCTAGATAGAGTTTGATGGTCCTGAGCTGGCATCTGTCTAGAGTTTGATGGTCCTGAGCTGGTATCTGTCGAGAGTTTGATGGTCTTGAGCTGGCATTTGTTTAGAGTTTGATGGTCCTGAGCTGGCATCTGTTTAGAGTTTGATGGTCCTGAGCTGGCATCTGTTTAGAGTTTGATGGTCCTGAGCTGGCATCTGTTTAGAGTTTGATGGTCCTGAGCTGGCATCTGTTTAGAGTTTGATGGTCCTGAGCTGGCATCTGTTTAGAGTTTGATGGTCCTGAGCTGGCATCTGTTTAGAGTTTGATGGTCCTGAGCTGGCATCTGTTTAGAGTTTGATGGTCC